TACTGCCCCTGTGGGTTTCGACTTCATACAGTATAAAACATGACCAAGGACCCCAAAGTACCAAATATGGAGCCCCTTTGCTGGCAATATTCGTAGATCATGATATATTACTAAAAGGTCACAAAAACTTTAGGTATATGTAAGGGAAATTTTGAGATACAGCCAATATTCATTTTTTAATTCACTCTCATTTGAGAAATGACGTCCTCTAAATCTCAAATGTGAAAATAGGGCCTCTCTGGCGGCCTAGGGGTTAAATCTCAGTGCTATCATCACCACGGCCTGAGTTAGATCCCCGACCTCTGGCCTACACCCAAGTTCTTCCACAGAAAAAGAAAGTGAATGGAATACTCTCACTGGCCCATTACTGCAATTTTTAAATGATTAAATAAAACAGCAACAAAGCATGGTTAAGGACCATCATGAGGAATCAAGGCAGCAGGCTCTCTTGCTGACAAACAACTGATGGAAAATCTCAGGTTGCGGTAAAAACCCCATGAGACAGGGGTATCCCTTGTCTTGTCCTCAAAAAGATAACAGGAGCATTAAATAGGCTTGATAAATATAGGACAAGCCTGCCAAGCGTTGTTCACACATGTTGCTAAGTCCTGCCTCAGTGAGGAGATCGCACCTGATTTCCCAATTGTGCGCATCCATCCTCCACCCTGAACTTGCAGAAGCGTTCGAGCTACCTGGTTTTGTTTTTTCTTTTTTTAATAAAGATTGCATCTATGTAAGGCATATGACATGATGATTTTATATAGCTATATAAATACAGATCTACTATGAATTAGCTATGTAATAGAAATGGTTGTTATAGTCAAGCTAACTGGCATATCTTTTCTCACATAGTTACGGTTTTTTTGTGGGGGGGATGACAGTATCTGAAATCTATTCTTCTTGCATATTTCCAGTATTTGATTTAATATTATTCGCTCCAGCCATCATGTTACACCTCAGGTCTCCACACTTAGGATCCCCCATGGCTGCACCTTTGTACTGTTGACCAACGTCTCCTGAGTCCCTGTCTTCATCCGGCTTCACTTCGACAGAAATTGGAATACATGATACGAGACTCGAACTGCAAAGGCCTTGCCTGGAGAGCTCAGTCTACTTGAGCCCCTTGAGTTCTCTGCTTCACATGCACGGCTAGTGAGATGTGGACCACGCACTACACATTTGCAAGCAGCATTTTACAGGTGACTGCACACAACAGCAATGAAGACTCGAGTGGCAAAATATGTCTTTAATAAACAAGCATTTAGCTAAAGAGATCCTGCTCCTGGATACTCTGTAACCCTCACCCACAGGCACAAATTATTTTGGAGCCTAGTTACACCTGAAGAGAAAGGGAAAGCTAACAGGTAGAAATTGCTCTCACCTCCTGACCATGTATATTACATAATACTATAAATTGATCTTTTATAATATGGATCCCTAAAAAAGAAAGCACCATATCGAATGTTGCTGAATGTATTCTGTTGGATGCCCACTTGGAATATAATTTCAGAGATAACAGATAAGAAACACACAGTTCCAAATTATTTCCTTCCCCAGATTGTCACTGACATATGAAAATGTTATCATAGTCATATTGTATCAAGTGCATAGGAAATAATAACAGTGACAATAACACCTACCATCCCCTAACTCTCGGGGGCTAGAGACTTCAATATATGGTCCTAAAGCATTCAGCAAAGGGAATAATGTAATCAACTCAATTCACTATTCAGGAACCTGAGATTCAGGGAGTTCAAGCAACTAACGTAACGTTATACAGAAAGTAAGGGCTAGAAGGTTTTTTCAGGATGCCACACCTAACTCTGTTACTCAAAGGACTGAAACCATGTGCCAAGCCACAGTCACTAGCAGGCGCGGCAGAAAGCACTGAGAGACATCACTAGATTCTTTCCAAAATGACAGCTAACAATTTCTGAAGAGCACTCTATCAAGAAACTTAGGTAGAAAGATCTCAGAGCAGACCTGTAGCACTGAGATCTAAGCAAAAGGAAGTGGCCCTACCCCGTTGTACAGCACTTCACTTTCTAACTCCACAGATGCTGCATTTTTTTACAGCGTGCAGGTTGGTGGCACCCCTGCATTGAGGGAGTCTGTGCCATTTTGCCTGTTGGTCACTGTTGGCCTCTGCATCATGTTTTGGTAATTCTCATATTTCAGACTTCTTCATTCTCGTTATAGGTGTTGAGATCAGCGATCTTTGGGGTTACTGTCGGAGCCATGTGGGCGCTCCAGGGCCATGCCCACATGGGAGAGTGAACTAGGGTGATGGGCGTTGGATGAGCTCTCACCGCTCCACCAGCCAGCAGTCCCCTCCCGCCCTCTCCTCGTGTCGCCCAATTCCTCGGGACACAACAATACTGAAATTCGACCACTGAGATCCCACAAGTGTTCAAGTGTGAGGAAGGGTAGCACATTTCTCACTATAAATTTAAAAGTGGGGATTGATTACATTTAGTGAGGAAGGTACATTGAATGTTGGGACAGGAGAAAGTTAGTCCCCTTGAGTCAGTTAGCCAAGCTGTGAATGTAAAAGGAACGTTCTTGAAAGAATGACAAGTCTACTTTGGCGGAACACATAAATGATAGGAAAGATAAACAATCTTATGGCTGATAGAAAGAATGTATAGGTGGTCTGCATGGCTCAAACCAGCCACAACATTCCCTTAAATAAAGTCTGAATCTATAGCCAGGTCCCAACCCTCACTAATTCTATGAAGGCTGAGAGAGGTGAGGATGCCATAGAAGAAAAGTTTGAAGCTAGCAGTGGTTGGCTCATGAGGTGAAGGGAAAGTCACCTCCATATCATAAAAGTTCAAGGTAGAAGCTAAGTACAGATGGGGAAGCTGCAGCAAGTTATCCAGTTGATCCAGCTAAGATTTACAGGAAGGAAGGCCACACCAATACACAGATACTCAATGTAGTCAAAACAGCTTTCTGTGGGAAGAAAGTGGTACTCAGGACTCGCATAGTTAGAGAGAAGTCACTACCCATATTCAAAGCTTCAAAAGACAAGCTGACTTTCTTGTCTGTAGGGGCTAGTGCAGCCGAAGCTACTGCTCATTTACCAATCTGAAAATTCTAGACTCTAAAAATTATGCTACTCTACCCGTCCTTTATCACTGGAATGACAAAGCCATTTATTTTAACGGATGACAGCACATCTGAGTATTTTAAGCCCTCTGTTGAGAAATACTGCTCAGAAAAAGATTCCTTTCAAAATATCACTCCTCATGGCAAGGCACCTGGTTACCCAAGAGCCCTGGTGGAGATGTATAAGGAGATTAACATTGTGCCCATGCCTGCTAACATAGCGTTTATTCTGCAGCCCATGGATCAATGAATAATTTTGACTTTCAAGTTTTATTATTGAAAAAATTCATTTTGCTTGTTGATTTTGGTTTTTTTCTTTATTATAATTAGTCATTTTTCTGGTCCCTTATTTAGGTTTTCTAGATTCCTGCTATGAGTGAGACCATCCGGTATTTTTCTTTTTCTTTCTGGCTTATTTCGCTGAGCATGATCCCTTCCAGCGCCATCCATGCTGCTGCAAATTACACTATGGGGGGGGGGAGGGGCAGGGAGAAGGAGAGGAGGGATTAGGGGAATTATATTGGGGAATATAACCAAAATGAAAATGAATACATTGTGCAAAAATGAAAAATGATGTAAGAATTATGTAAAATAAAATAAAAAAGTAATGTTGCAGAATGATAACAACTACAAAGAAAAAAAGAAAAAAAAATTCATTTTGTAAGGCTATAGCTGCCATAGATAGGGATTCCTCTGATGGATATAACAAAGTCAATTGAAAACCTTCTAGAAACCATTCCCAGGCCATTAAGAACATTTGTGATTCATGGGAAGAGGTCGAACTATCAACACTAACAGGCATTTGGAAAAGCTGACTTCAATCCCCATGGAGGGTTTTGAGGGCTTCAAGATGTCAGTGGAGAAATAACTTCAGACGTGGTAGAAATAACTAGAATTTGAGGTGAAGTCTGACAATGTGACTGAATTACTGCAACCTCGTGCTAAAATTTTAATAAATAAAGAATTGCTTTTTATGGATAAGCAAAGAAAGTGGTATTTTGAGATGGCTTTGACTCCTAGTGAGGATGTTGGGAATGATGATGAGATGACAATGAAGGATTTAGAGCATGACAGAAACTGAGTTGCCAAAGCAGCAGCATGTGTAAAACGTCACATTCCAATTTTGAAATTGGTAGCAATGTGGGAGTAAATGCATCAGTCAGTATCACGTGCTACAGAGAAATCCTTCACAAAAGGAAAAGTCATTCCATGAGACAAACTTCACTGTTGTCATTTTAAGAAATTCCCAACCACCATCATTCTGACCAATCTGCAGCCATGAAACAGAGTCAAAACCCTGCACCAGTCAAAGATTATTCCTCTCAGAAGTCCCAGATGATGGTTAATGCTCACGGACAATGGCTATTTTTAAAGGGAGACACATATATTATTGTCTTAGACATAATGCTATTGCACTCAATAGAACAGTAGAGCGGAAGCATTAACTTGAATGTGAGCTGGGAAATCAAAACAATTGTGTGACTTGCCTTAATGAGATATTCATCTTATCACAGTGGCCTGCAACTGGACCCAGGTATCTCTGAGGTTTTCCTGTATTTCACTGAGATAAAGCACTAAGCAGGAAGTATCTGGTTCCTGAAGCCAAATGCTGCCAACGTCAGTTTTATCTAAGCTCAAGTTATTATCAAGATAATATAAAACCTGTGCTTTCGCCAATGACATTCAAATATGTGAGCTACTTTGTCCCCTCAGAAATATTAACATATTAATAAAAACAAAACAGATTCACAGTTTTATTTCCTTGACACGAAGTATTTGACTCAAATAATTGGAACATGTCACCAAAATAGGGTAAGACATTTCATAGCTTCTACTTGGACTTGACAGACTGAAAGGTCCTACTGAGTCGAAACAAAATGTTCACTTACCTGATGAAACCACCTGTATCACCTTTTCCCAAGTTCCACGTGGAAAAGTGTGAAGAAAGCAGGAGTAGAAGCCCACATCAGCGTCAGAGGCATTAAGGAAGGACAGTGTCATATCGTTGGGCGTCATGGTGGAGTTTAAGAAGTGAACCCTCCCGTCATAGGGCTCTCTAATTGAGATCCCGTAAGAAGGGTGGAAAATGGCTATGGACTCCTTCTGAGTTGCGTTGACCTTGAACCACTCCACCTGCGTTAAGTTGTCCATGAACGGATACACGCATTCTAGTGTCATATTCTCGGCAAGTCTAACCATCGTGTCCCAGAGCATCTCTGCACACAGAGCTGAAACACACATCGCATTGACTCCGTTAGACTCGCACACTCAAACCCCAAGCAGACATTCTTCCGTGCATTCTAAGCTCCAGAAAGTCAGCCAGAGAGTAGATGGAGCTCCTGGTAAAAGTCAAGCCTCACAGCTTCTCCCTCAGTCTAACAAGGTTTCCACTGCTGGTAATTGGCATTTGTCTTTCCCAACAAGTGAGAAGTTACCTAAGCCAACTAAAGAGCGTCATATAAATTCTGAATGTGTCACACTGTAACATTAAAAAAAGTACATTTTCTAAATGAAAATGTTATCATTACCTTTGTATGCATGAAAAAGAGCCAAGAAGAGAGTAAAATAATCCATCTCTGGACGCCGTCGAGGAGGCTGGTCTCTGAGAGGCGATCGCGGTGCCCCTGCAGGGCCGCCACGCAGCACGGCTTCCTTCCGCTCAGATGCTATCAGCAGAAGCTTCTTTCTCTGGAGTGTGAAACACAGGAAAAAGGTGTTTGCTTCAAAGCCAGTTTGCTCTCTACAAAGATGGGCAGGTTTGTATTACTTCTGTCTCAGACAACAGAAAGCTTATTTCACACTTTCATTTTTCACAAAGATTCATTCACCAGCTAAGGGTGTTGTGTGTGCCAAGGTCTACTCTAGGGAGTGAGAGACATTTAAAAACAAAATCTGGCCTCCATGGAACTTGTATTCTAGTGGGAGGAGATAGGAATGAATAGAAAAAAGTAGAAAATTAGAGTAAATGACAGGTGGTAAGTACAGGGAAACAGAACAGGGAAGTGGCGATAGGGAAGTGCTTCCCTTTTAGGTAGAAAACTCGGGAGGCTTCACTGAGAAGGTGAGGTTGGAGCAGACCATGAAGGGTCAGGGGAGGCGCCTGGGGCTCTGGGGGCGTGGGGGTTGGAGGTTGTGACAGTCTGGAGTATTTTCAAACGGTGCGACTACAATCTAAAGGGCGGGGATGTTCAAAAAAAAAAAAAGATAAATTGGTCTGGATTGAAAGAGCCCCAGATGACACGCATGAAAGCGTCTCAGAGGCTCACATCTGTAGCTCCAGCTCCCCGGCGCGATCCCGGGCGACCATCTGTGGCGGGAATAGTCACACTCTGAAAGGAGCTTTTTTCAAAGTTGTCGTAGCTGGAGAAATTGAGGGTCAGTGGGTTTGCAATGTCAGATTAGACTGAATGTGTCGTTGGGGCGAGGCCAGGTTGCCCTTGTAGACTTTCTGACTTGAGTCTGAGGCAGACAGAAGCTTCTGGAGGCATTCAGATACCAGAACAATGTGCCCTGATCTATATTATTAGAAAACATAACTGAACACCACCCCCAACTCCCTTTCCTCACTCGCAACAGAACCCTGACGACTTGGGTCTCCACTGCTTCCAAGCCAGGGGATACTAGGACTAACCTGAGTCCTTTTGCTGACCACGCCGATTGATGTGGAGGCCAAGGGCTTTGGAGAAATGAACTACGGCCTGAAGTGACCCACTCGGAGGGAAGGAAATTATTTCTCTTCCCCATCGGAAAGACAGCTTTCGTTTTTTTCTCTCTCCCCTCTTCTCCTTTACCCTCCTCCTTCTAGCACTCTCTTGGAATAAGAAGAAAGTGCTGGGTCCGTTTCTGCTGGCAGCCGTATTGCTGGAATTCTGCCCGAGGACAAGGAGGGTAACGCAAGATGGGAATTAACTGAGCTACTGAATTAAATGGAGCTACGGAATCCACCAGCTTTGGAGTCTGAGCATCTTATGTGATATAATAAATTTTCAATCTCTTAAGCCAGTTAGAAAACCAGTTTCTGTGACCTACAGCCACACACATCGTAACAGGTGCACTTGTTCTGGCTGCTGCATGAAGCATAGATTGGAGGGGAACAAGGTGGGACAGAAAGCTGTTAGGACATGATCACCATGATCTGAGCAAAACAGCTTGGTGGCTTGGACTGGGATGAGTCCCCTGGATGGTGGGAGAGAAGAACTGACTGCCAGGACATGGTCTGGCATCAAGCGGAGATAGAGCCACGGTCGGGATCCTCAAACCCGCATGGCCGAGGGCCCAAGAGAGGGTATTTCATAGGACAAGTGCTGGACAAGGTGATGGGAGAGTGAAAACACCAAACAGGGTTGGGAAGACGACTCAAGGCAAGACAAGGAAGAATCCAGTTCTGCCCTCAGGTGCAGAGGCCTAAGGATAACCAGAACCACTTGCTATGGAGACTGACTGAAGCTGAGAGCAAGGGGGAGATGAAGCCCTTTGCAAGATATTAAAATAGGTCAAGAAATATATCTCTGTCAGGAGAAAAGGGCAAAGTACAAGTAAGAAAACCAATGGTCAGAGAACTTAGGTTACTAGTAATGAAGGACATTTATGACTCATACCCAGACCCCATGGCGAAAGTGCGTTCCCTAAGATGAGGAACAAGACAGGATGCCCCCGCTCACCACTGCTGTTCACCAGGTACTGCAAGTTTTAACTAGAGCCGCTAGGCAAGGAAGAGAAATAAGATGCATCCAAAATGGTGAGGGGAAAGCAATCTGCAGGTTGAATGCAATCCTTATCAAACTCTCAGTGGTCCTCTGGTGACCTACGGGCTAAGTCAGGAATCAGGTGTGGGAGGTTTATGAAAGGGGTGCTCACTGATAGTGACTTACAGGGCCCCCCTTCATTCCCAAGGCATTTACATTCTGAATCGTCCACCAAATCAAGGGACCTTGAAGCCACATAGCCAGACGCAGGGTGCACACAGGCGGCGGCTGAAGTAAAGTTCAGCTGTTACAACTCTGCTAACGATGAGCCCGATTTATCAACATCTAAGCAAAGACAAATAGACACCGCGCTTGGACTATTTTTGTTGTGGAGGCAGCCATTTTTTGCATGATTTATGAAGGGGTTTGGGCTTGAGGTTTTTTCTAATAGAGCTGTCTGTATAAAAGAGCTTCATCCTCCAGGAAGCCATTCATCAAGCAGTGCTGCTCCTCTCTTGTTGCACGCTCCTCAGCCAACCACGCGCACATGCGTCCCCCTCAGGAGTCCGCTGGGGCTGGCGCTCCGCAGTGACACCTGCCAGCACTCACTTCTCTTGGGTGGGCCACCCTTAGCCTCCATCCCTTCAGAGCCAAATCAAGGGCCTTTTCAAGAGCCTAAATGTGAAAACACCCTTTAGCATTGCCGTTTGTCTACAGGATAGGAAATGCAGCAAAAATCTTCGCGTGGCGGGGCACAGTGTCCTATTAGCTACCTTCTGCCTCTTTTTCTAGCAATGGAAAAATAAAGGGAAAGAAAGCATTTACCCACCTTTCCTGTACAAATTGCATTTCAGGGCCTCCCTGGTGGTGCAAGGGGTTAAGACGCAACGTATGAAGCTATCAGCAGCCACTGCAACATGAGTTCAATTCCTAGCCAGGGAGCTACCCACATGGCACAGCAGACCTCTGCTGGCTCACCTGCTGCTCCCCTCAGCAGTGGATTTCAGTCAGTCTGCCTGTCCTGCTCCCCGCTCTGTCTCTGGTGAATCCTTTCACCTCCTGTGCCTCTGGCCTGTACCCCAGTTCTTGTATGCATAAATAAATAAATCTTTAAAAAAAAAAACAAATTGCATTTCAGGGTGGCTTATGTACATTTCTAGTTAGAGAAAATTTCAGCTACAATGGGAAAAAAAATCAACACAACTTTTAATTACCATGTAGCAACCCCTATTAAAATGATAGAGTGAGGCCACTGTTACTAGGTCCTAGAGCTGCCAGATGGAAGGTTAATGAGAAAGCTATTGCTGGTATTTGAGGCCCCTAGTGACCCCTGACCTCAATACAGTGATGCCGCCCGGGACTCCGAAGGCGGTGAGGAGGGAAGTAAACAGTACACCCAGGGATCCTGTGACCCTAGTAACCAAGCCTGAGACCGGTGCCACCTCCTCCGGAGACAGCTGCTGGCACATGGGAAGTGCAGGGCCTGCGGGGGGAGCCGAGCGCACCTTGAGGAAGCCATGAGCCGACACAGAAAGCAAAAGGCTGCAGGACAGATGTCTCAGATTCTCAGTCAACAATGATGATCATTTCCGACAGAGTCACTTAATCCAGGAAAGGCCAAAACGCACTGGATAACTTTAAATATCCTTTCCTGATAAAAACTCATAGCAATTTTGCAATTTAATTAGCATTTAAAAAAAAAGCAAATTGATTAGAAACAGTGCAAATTGATGGCTAGAACTGGAAGAATCTCTCTACACTTCCTAAACAAGACCAGGAAGACCACCATCCTGCCAATATCTCAAACTGCTCTGGAAGTTCCAGTTGCTATCACAGATTAAAAAGAGGGAGTAGAAATGTTAGTATTAGAAAACTATTTTGAGCTTATTATTTGTAGATGATCAACCCAGAGAACACAGAATCGAATAAAAAATCAACTAATAAATGAAGATATAAGGTAACTAACAAAATAACTTTGTGATAATAGCTTTCTTTTAAATAATAGCAGAGCTACAAAACAGGACACGTGTGTATGTGCGTATGTACACACATACATATGCATGCATGAATATATAGGTCTGTGCCTTAATAATATGCAATAATTGTACAAAACTGTAAATACCAGCAAAGGAAATGAGACAAATCTTGAAAACATGAAGGTGACATGCTATGTTCCTCTACGGCATGATCCAATTTGGGCAAAACTCATCAAAAATGTTTTTAATTGACCTGGAGAATTTCATCTCTTACATTTTGAAGCTGGTCGACTGTGCAGGACTGTTTGTGTGCTGCTTGTGAACCACACTCTGCCTTCAATGGCGCAGGTGACTAGAGGGCGTCTGTCCTCCCAGTGTGAAGCTGCATCATCTTACTCAGCAAACAGGAAATGTTAAATGCTCCCATGACTGATACTGAATTCCAAGACAAACAATAAAAATATCACGAGACAAATGAAGCTGCTTAAACCTCCAGAGAATGGCCATTCAGCACGTTCAAAGCAGGAGCAGAAATGGAAGGGAAGACAAGGAAAATGAGTGGGACAGAAATTCCTGAGCACTTAGCATGGTTTGCATATGTGAATGTTCACAGAATAAATATGTTTTTAATTAGCAGGAGCCCCATCAAAAATGCGTAACAGCAAAGTACTTTCTTAATGAGGAGAAAGATGGAGGACGTCCTTTGCCCCACCAGATATGAAAGAGGATTACAGAACTCCAATGCTAAAATATCTTATCTGTATAAATTCAGAGTTCCGAAGCAGACCCCAAGAATTACAGATTTTGGGGGTAGAGACTTGCACACAGCTCCATGAAAAGCATTTTATGGCTTCATTTCCAAGCATCCCTTGAGAGCTTGGAAGCGTGACACTGAGGAACCAGGCAGACACGAGCAAGGCTTTCCTCACCCAGTCCTCATGCTCCAGACTCTATTTGTCAATTCTGGGAATTTGCTCAAAAAAAAGTTTCTGCCTAGGTGCATAATCCCATAAAACACTGGCTGATTCTCTGGGAGATACAAATGGCCAACGATCCTGGTGGTCACAGTTTTGCTGCTCAGTTACTCCACTAATGGTGTTTGGAACAAGATTCCTGAGGTCTGTCCTCATTTAGATAAGCCCACAGGTTTGCCCCACTATCCAAAAGCAAAGCGTTGCATACCTAAGCCAACATGGTATAAAGCATAGACACAACTAATATTAATTTATATGGAAAATATTTTGCTCCTTCCAATATTAAAAAAAAAAAAAGCTTATCAAACCATACCAAAGAACACATAAAACCCAAAATAATAGTCACAAATAGTAAAGAAAGGATGAAGATGACAAAGACATGCCTGGACAAAGGCTTTTAAGGAAGGCAGTTGGACAGGCCACTCTTGCTAAACCTCCTCTCACGAAACAAAATTACTCTGCCCAAAACAAAATGGTCTACCTCTCACCCAAACAACGTGGCCTTCCTCTCACAAAACAAAATGGCCTGCCTCTGCCCAAAACAAGATGGCCTGCCTCTTATTGGACAGGCCGATAAGAGGCCTGCGCGTTTCCCTTGCTTGGCCTTGGAGCTGTAAGTGTATCTGTAGGGGTGCCCTATTTTCTTCCTCCTCCATCCAGGTTACAATGACAGTCGCAGGCACGTAAATAACACCACATGCAGAACCTCTTCACTGCGTTCCCTGCTTCAGGGCATGCGTTAGTGGAAGAAGTAACTAGACCCAGGGAGGAACTCAGCTTCCCAAAAAGACAAAGTGAACTTTGTCGGGAAGGCTGTCAAGAACTGCTCCTAGGAAGGAAGCTGGTCGTCCTGGGTGCTTCAGACAACTGTGGGATTGAATCTCCTGCGTCCCTGGAGGAGCTTTGCCTCATGTAGAGGTTCTGGGTTCTCAACTCTGCATCTCATTTTCTGTGTTACCTGCTGTCCTGTCAACCAGGCTGTGTGGATGTTTCACATACATATAAAATGTTTTCTCACAATGAATTAAATTTGCATTAAATAAAGTGCTCTGGGATAGTACAGAAGTGACTTTTCAGTGAGGAGCAGGTGGTGAGCAGTGGCCCCTTAATCAAGGTCGCCAGACTCTTGTTAATAACCCCAGAATTAATTTTTGGTGACAAAAAGATTTATAAATTTCCAGCATATAAGAAAAGTAACATTGCAGTTAGGAGGGAAAGACCTGATTGCCAAGGACAGGTTGTTAGGGAGACTGAAGTCAGCCCCCCAGACCCGCGTGGAAGCCAGCCTGTCCTTCCCTGCCACATTTAGCAAAGACGTGCGTTTCCGACAGTGGACGTGACTGTGACAGCCGGGTCGTGAGCTCGTGCTCATGTGGATCCGTTCAAATAAAAGTAATTAAAAGTTAGGGGCAAGCTCCACGCCTGTCTCCAGGGCCTGGGTAAATTACTAAGTTCGCAGCACCAGCCGGGGGCCCTTCCATGGCCTGCAGGTGTCTGACAGGTGAGGCATCTGCAGGCCTGAAGGCAAGAGCTGCGCCCCACCCCGATGCACACGAGGTCCAGCCACGTGGACCGTGGGGCCCGGAGTCGCGCCCGCGCCACAGTCTTACCTGGTTGCGCCTCGCCGGGCCCCCCTGCCTGCAGCCTTCCCCTCCCACAGCGCGGGAGGCCTGCACAAGCCTTGTCGGGTCCCGAGTGTGAGTGTCCGGGGAAGGCTGCTCCTTGCTGGGAGTTTGTTCTAATCGCCCGCAGGAAGCCCTGGAGAGTCCCACTCCGGGGACCCACGGGGGCTGGGGACACACACTATCTCCTCCCCCAGCCGTCCCTGGTGCCAGCCCCCTGCTGCCTCTGCTTGATAATGTTCCCCCGGAGGAGGAGGGGCCCCTTCTAGGGGCCACGCAGAGTGTGGACTTCCCAAAGAGACGGGAATTCAAACCCTGGCCTAGCCCGGGGCCTTCGGGCCCAGGTCCTAGATGCAAAGCGCTAGCAGCGAGCCCAGCGGGGCTCTCTCAAGACCCAGAGCAGCAAACTTGCTTGACCTCTTGCACCCAACACGGCGGCCTCATAGGCAATTGAAAGGAAGTTTTACCTTCCAAAGCGGCCCCGGAGCTCCACACGCTTAAACTCAGGGAGAGGCTTGTAGATGATTCTTCTGCAGACTCCTGGACGTGAGCTGTGGTTGTGGCAGGTCACCTTCTTAGCTGCTACCCTGAGAACAGTTTCCTCTGCAGCGGGGTGCTGTGGCTTGTCGGTCAGCTGTCCAGTGAGCTGTGACGCCCCAGTCATTGTCCCCAGAGCAGCCTCAGTGCTTTGGTGGAAGAAAGGAGACTCAATTAGCTCGTATTTGGCCCCTGGGGTAGGGGGAGAGTGGCTCCCCCAATGTCCGTGTCCTGCCCCTAGAGTCTGGCTGCCTGGATAAGGGGGTGTCTCCAGCTTGGCCTGTCCCAGCACCCCACTTGCTGGAATTGGAATCAGGTACGAACGTGGGGTGATGTACACCTAGCTCAACTGGAGCATTTATGCCTGCCCCCCTCCTCACTCTGGGGGTGTCTTGCTTTGGATGATAAACTGTAGCCCCCGCAGAGCCTCAGCACTGAGTAGCTTTAACAATAGCTGGTTGTTATTTCTCATGGCGTGTGGTTCTGCCCCTCTTGCTCTGGCCCTTTCCTGTTCCTGTCTGTCTTCTGCCCCTCTCCACCCCCTGAGCTATTTACAGCAACTGTATTCATTTTCTGTGCTGTTGTAACAAATGAGCACCCACTTGATGGTTTAATACTTCACAGGTGGTTTTCTTACAGTTCTGTTCCTCAGAAGTCTGACTTGGGTCTCCCAGGCTAACACCCAGGCAGGGTGAGATCCTGAGATCCTTTCTTGGGGTCCCGGGAGGGCGTCCATCCCGGGCCTGTGCCACCTCTCCAGGCAGCCAGTGATGTCCGTGGTCCTCGGCCCCCTGCTCCACTCAGAGTGACCAACCTCACATCGCTGACCTCTCCTCCCTCCCCCTGACTCTCCAGGCCAATTTCCTCTTCTTTGAGGAGCCGAGGACTCCCTGAGTCACACACAGATAACCCAGGCTGCTCCCTCCCCCAGCGCCCTTCCCCTCAATCATGTCTGCAAAGTCCCTTTTGCCATGAGACGTAAGATCTTCACAGATTCCACAGGTGGGACGTGGATGTCTGTGGACTTGTTATTCTGCCCACCCCACTGGCCAAATAGGAATTCACTGATTTCCTTCTTTCTTCCTAAAAACACTGATTCTGGTTCATTCAAAACCCTAGTGCTTGGCCCAGCATAAGCAGAGGCATCTGGGAAGTTCAAGCCTGGTGATCAGTGCTGTGGTTTGGTGTCCTGAGGGCTGATAGAAGGACGATTTGGGGAAAGAGATGATTTTAAAAAGTAGGGATAGAAAGACAAAAAAAAATAAATACACAGAAGCACACACATTTAATTTGTTATGAGCTAAAATACCGATTCATTGAAATATTTCTCATTCCATTTTTATGGACTTGTTATATTCTGATGGTGGTGTGCTCGGCTCCGGTGGGTTTTCAAACATTTGGACCCAAAGACACTGTGTAAGAAACGGAAATAAAATGAAAACAGAATCGGACTCACCTAATTGGAAGTCAAGCCCATGATCATGCATGCGCGTGTGTCAAATTCCTTCCTGTAGCTTATTTCAAATCATTTTACCACATTTCCCATTTGCTTAAATGGTCTCTGGTTTTGCAACCACATTTTTCTCTTCTCCCACTCTTTAATTTATGCATATTCATTTCTCTGGGGACTTTTCCAAGTCTTCCTTCTTGCATTGTTCCTCTTCTTCGTCCTGAGCGCCAGCAAGCTTTCCTCTCTCCATTTCCTCTCAGCAGAGACATTTCACCACTCAGTGCCCTAAATAAGAAGCTGAAATGTCCTCGAAGTTCAAAGCGGGGTGCTGGGCAGCTGCCCCTTCACTTACCCAACCATCGTCCACTCACCCACAGTGACCAGATTTCAGACCTGGGCGTAAATGACGGAAATGCTTTATTTCACCGCAGTTATTATTACCAGAATTTTAAACCTCAGTTCTTTTTACTGGGAGGCTGAATCCTCAAGCTAACACACTGACATCTAGGACACTTTGCACGGTGGCGCCAGGTCCATTTCGCTAGTGCAGAGAATGAGCCCTATATCTTCTTCAAGTTGCCTTTTTTTTTTTTAAATAGAGGCATTTTTTTATTTATTTATTTGTTTGGTTGGGTTTTTTTTTGTTTGTTTATACATGCACTGGGTACAGTCAGAAGGGTGGGAGGGTGAGAGAAGTCACCAGAGCCAGAGCAGGGAGCAGAGCAGGCAGAAGGACAGAAGGACACTGCTGAGGGGAGCAGCGGGCGGCAGGAGAGGTCTGCGCGCCATGTGGGACCCTCCTCCAGTGGCCGGGGAGCAGCCGGGGATCGAACTGGCACCGCAGAGGCCGCTGGCAGCTTCTCGACCCAGCGCTCAACTCCTGCGCCACCGGGGAGGCCCCCAAGTTGCCTTTTTAAACCCCTCACATCCAGTCAGTGACTACTGAAGGATCTCCGAGGAAATGCTATTTTTCATGATGAAAAAGTTTGTATTTAGAATTAGAATTTCTCAGGCCCACAGTTTCGATGATCCCAGGTTTGTTGGTAATACCCGAACCCTCATAGTCAGGATGCACACACGTGCCTTCTTCTATCAGGTCTGACGGGGGTGTTGACCTTGGCCACTCAATGTCATAGAGCTTCTTCACAGCCTGGTGCAGCTGGTGCTGGCTGACCTTGACATCCACCATGAACACAAATGCATTGTGGTCTTCTCTCTTCTTCATGGCTGACTCGGTGGTCAAAGGGACCTTGGGGATGGTGTAGCTTGTTTTTCCTGGGAGTGCTCTTCTGAGGAGATTTGGGGTAACTTCTGAGCCTTCGTGTCTTGAGCTGTGGGAAGGTGGGTGACTTTCTGCTGGTGGAAATGCCTTCCAGGTTGCTTTCTTGACTTTAAATGCTTTTGCTTTGGTTTCAGCTTTGGAGGGACAGGGGCTGCCTTCTCTGCTTTTGACACGATCTTTGTGAAAAGCTCCAAGAAAATAGTTTTAAAAGCAAACTCTACACCATTCTGGTCCTGAAAGCCTCCAGTGTGGAACCACAGATTCAGCTGCTCCTACCCATCCCACCCTACACACTCTCTGCTCTCCTAACATCTACTTTCTGAGTAGTGACTGCGACAGGTGTTTGTCTAATCATCTCTCCTAATCCTTTGATTACAAATATCACAGGTCATTATAAACACCACACACTGCATGCCCAGTTTCTCTAACGCTGCACATGTTTCATTCATTAAACTTGCAAAATCTGAGAGAACTGGACTGTTACCATTCTCACATTACACTTGCAGAAACGGAGTCACTGAGCGTCTAAGTCAAGGGCCCGAGTTCTCCATACCCTTTGGGAAGCAAACGCGGGATCTGAACCAAATACTCAACTCAGACTCCTCACCTGCACAATCCCCTTCCCACTCCCAGAAGTCAGATCCCCTCCTCCCAACAGATAACGAAAGGACCCTTTGACAGTTAAGAATCCCACCTCCAATTCCCTGGGAGACCACCTTAGCACCCTGCCTTTTTCCTCGATATGTCCCAGGTCAGAAACAGGCATTGGGAAAATTATTTCCTGCGGTGATATTTGCTGAAGTAAACATCCTCCCATGATCACAGACATTATTGAAAACGCGATCTGGTGGATAAGCTGGACTGGGAAACTTCACGCACTTCTGGAAATACAGAAATCACTGTTATGAAGGTCTCTGTCACATCCCAGAGCAAAGAAATTTAACTGAATATAGTTTAACCCATTGTTTCTCAAATCCACTAGAGCGGGAGATCTTGATTTCAGATACAATCTACTAGCATACAAGTCAGCACACACCTGAAGAAGGCTATGCGATAGGTTGGGACCCAGCACCCTGGGTTCGTATCCAAAGTCTTACATCTTCTATTCCCATCTCTGCCTGTCTAAGTCACCTCCCATTTAAGTCAGTCAATGCAATTAAACATACCAGCAAAGAACGATCAAGTGATCGTGTTGATTGATGCAGAAAGAGCATTTGAAAAACTTTAACACCCACTTGCAATAAAAACCCTTAGCAACTGAGGAATAGAGGGGAATGGCCTCTCTGATACAGATCGTCTCCGAGAAATGAATAGCAAGGCATAAACGTCCTCCCACCCCACCCCACCATCCTAAGACAAGGGGCTGTTCTTGCCGATGCTTTGCTTCCAACGTGTTCCAGCCACTGCATTAAGGCAAGAAAAAGAAAGGAAAGACATACAGAGGGGCAGGGAATAATAAAACTATCACTAATTGTAGGGACGTGATAGCCTATGTAGCAAACCCAAGAAATCTACAAAATCTGCTTGACCTAGTGAGTTGACAAAGTACACAGTAGATAAGATCCACACCCAAACCAATCCCTGTCCCTATGTTGCCAGTGAACATATGGAAACTGAAGTTAAAAACAAAAACAAAACCATCTACAATCACTCCAAATAAAGCAGAAGACACAGGTGGCTGGGGCAGCGCTGCCGCGGAAGGCCACTCGAATTGAAGGGATCCTCCCTCTGATACCTGCCAAGACCTGCATGACCCTGCAGGGAACAGTGCTTGGGTTTTAAAAAGTCACCCCCAAAATGCACCCATTTATATAACAGTCTTGCAATGACAAAGTGTAAGAAACTGAGAAATCTGAGAACAGACTGGAGGGTCCATGGATTCATGAGGGCGTCCCGGGGAAGGTGATGCCTGAAAGAAGAGGCTGTGGTTACCATGGGCCACACGGAGGGTGATCAGTGGGAGGGTCCTGACCCCACGAGCGATACCAAAACCCACCCAGGAGGGAAATCAGACATGTCTGAATACAGTGAACGCCACTTTTGTTTCCTGGATACAATACGCTTCTGCATCTTGCATGGCTTACCGTATCGAACCTGAACACACACACGCACGAATACAAGTAAATCCTGAAAAAGCTGAATCATGTAGGCGGCTTGTACCGATGTTTAATATTCCGGTGGTGAGATCGTTCTTTAGTTTGTGCGAAGTGCCCGCTGGGGGACACGGGGTAAAGAATATATGGGGCTTCTCTGTATCATTACTTATAACTGCATGTGAAGCTACAATTATCTCAATAAAAATTCCGATTAAAAAAGAGAAGGCAATAACATACCTTCCCTTTTACAGCTCGGCAGTGCAGCCTCTCGGCCAGAACCTCCTGCAGGAGCGGGAGCCGGGGACTGATTCGCCTCTCAGG